CCATTTTCAGCCTCTACAAATAATGAAATAAAAGCCCCAATTTTAGAACTTAGGGTTTGAAGAAATTTTCAGAAAATGTTTGAAGGGATGCAAATGATAGCAAATAATTAGCTCAATACCTTTTTCCAGTTGACAACTAAAGCTGAAGAGAGAAAATGTAGCAATGGCTGATAGCAGATGGAAAGAAATGAAGTCAACCCTCTCAACAAATACAACAATAGCAATGGCCACCAGATTGATGCATTTGTACCGGTATGGACTGTGTGGTAAGATGCACTCGTACAGATGAGTGGTAGCAAGCAAAAATCGAACTTCTAATCTCATCGAAAATCCAGACTCTCGGAAGTTCAGACAAGGAGGAGGAGAGTAGCTCAGTAGTACTTAGAAGAAATTAGGGGTCGATTGAGGAGGAAAGAGGAATTAGGAAAAGCCAATTTTTTTTTTTACCTCTCAAATTATTTTTTTCCTTGTGAAATGACTATATGACCTATAAATATTTTAAAGTTATAGCCAACATTTTGATAATTTAGACAACTCCCAAACCTAAAAGAGTAAAATTGTAATAACTAAATATATAATTTTTAATTAATTAATTTGTACTCGATAAGGCTCAACGAGCCACTAACCTTGACAAATCAATATTCGAACTCGGCTTGAATTATTAATGAGCTACTCGAGCTTGACTTGCACTCGATTAAAACCAAGTGCGAGTCAAGCTTTTGACCGAGCTACTCGCGAAGAGCTCGATTCGATTACATCCTTAAGGTTGTTGAGCTTGGTTCATGAACTATTCAAACCAAGGTTGAATAGCATTTCATATTCGGCAAACTTCTAAGCTTGACTAGAACTTGGCTTGATTAGCATAGAACTTGAATTTATAGGTAAAACGTTCAAACTACTCAAGTTCGACACAATAAAAATTCATTTGAGATTAGCTCAAAAATAAACAAGGCAAGTCTGAATACAATCTCAAGTTCATTAAAATAATAAGACAAATTGAACAATTGGGTATTTGGTTTGATTAGACTTGTTTATACCCCTAAACGCATTGATAAGTTGGCTACATACTCTATATTTGTTAAGTATATACCAGGTGGACTTGTTTTACCATTGTTGCCTATGTATTCTTTTTTTTCTCTCGTGTGTTAACTTAGGAGAAGGTGCTAGTCATGTGTATCATGTCTTTTGATTGTACTTTATTTTACATAACGTGCAGGATTAAGCAATGGATGCAGAAAGAATTCGGTCATCTTAATTTCGTTGTATTGCTGCCGGTACTATTGCTTAATTAAAGAAGCTTAACCGATCAGGCTTGTAATGGCATTAACACATTATACTCATTTAGTATAGTCATCCAATTAGGTTTTATCATTTTTTTTTACTTTTCTTAATCAATATTTATCAAATTTTTTATTGTCAATTGCTCAATTCTAGGAGCTTCTCTGAATTTCTCCTTTCTCTGCATTTTAATCATTTGATCTAATCATTACATTTGTATTTTCTTTCAATGATTATAAATACTCTGATATTTATTGTGAAATTGATGAATTTTTATTTTGTTTTGATTTCGAAGTCTAGTAATTGAATCGATGGCATATAGTTGCGATTGTGAGAACAAAAGAGGCTCGTTCTCTTCCTAAAGTTCAATTTTGATCTAAATCTTTCGTAGAAGTGTCAATCACAAACCAATTATGTTGACTCATCCAAATCCACCCACTAATAATCCGCCTAAATCCATTCATTAATTTTGAATGCGTGATACCCAATTAAATTCATTTAATTGATGGATAATGGGTTGATTCGACTCACCTATTTATACTCATTAAAAATGATTATATATTTAAATTCAACTTTTAGTGAGTGTTAAGCAAATAAATTTGAATTTCTTATCAATCTAATAAGAATAAAATATTATTATTTCTTGTCAAACAACATGCAAAAAATAGAAAAAAAATAAATAGAATCTTAAGTGACTCATAAATGGATAATTGGATATATCCATACCATTTATTAAATGGATATAAATAGGTACCCATTTATATCTATTTATTTAAATGAGTATAAATGGATTAACCCAATTATTTCCATTACCCATTAACCATTATGACTACCCAAACTTGTTCGAATCACCCATTTTGATACCTTTAAAATGGATATAGCTAGAATCCATTACTTGAACGAGAGTGGCAATAAGGGTGGCTTATCTATCAACTTTTAAAAATCCCTCTCCATTTCAATTATAACAACAATTATGAGTGTCTTCTAATGAACCAAACATTAAATTTTGAAACATCAGCTAATCATTGTAAAAGGATCTCCAACTGGTAGAAAAAAACCCACAACCCCTTGGGGAGGAATTATCCATATGTAAAATCATAATTATTGATATTCATGCCCTAGATTTGTTTTTTCTTTTAGTAGTTTATAGGATAAATTGATAAGTTGGGTATTTCTAGCCCATTGCATTGGAAAAGACTCTACTATAACTATGCTTAACTTGAAGAAGGTGCAACCACAAACTTCTTTGAAAGTTTTAGCATGGTTTGAGAATTCCTTTCATTGCTTGAATGCAAGCCTCCCAAGTCTCGAGAAGTCTATCTATCAAGCTTCAATGAGAAGTTGAGAAGTTGATAGCTTCCCAAACCTTAAGAAATCTATCTATCAAGCTTCAATGAGAGTCTCCAAGACTTAAGAAGTTGAAGAAGTATAACCAAGAAGTTGAAGAAGATGCAATCACAAATTTTCATGGGAGCCTTAGCATGGCTTGAGAAGTCCTCTCATTAGCTTCAATGAGAACTTACCAAAGTTCGAGAAATCCATTGAAAGAGGCATAAAAGGCATAACCACCTATTTTAATGAGAGCTTCCCAAAACTCGAGAAATTTATTGAAGAAGGCACAACCACTTATTTTAGTGAAAGCTTACCAAAATTCGAGAAGTCCTTGTACTTAGAAAGTTTACCAAAACTCGAGAAATCCATTAAAAAAGATACAACTATCCACTTCAACGAGAGCTTACCAAATCTCGAGATATCCATTGAAAAAGGCACAATCACCCAATTCAATGAGAGCTTATCAAAGATCGAGAATCCATTCATCTAGTTTCACATTGATGATTTATTACCCCTCTCAAGTACATCATGATTTAAGAATTAGCTCTTTTTTTTTTTTTTGGAGGTCCCAAGTCTTATTGCTTATGTTGATGGGACATCAAAGTAGTTGGTTTAGTAGACTTAGCTGCAAGATCTGCACTATCACCAATGTAACGGATGAATTTTGGGTTCTTAAAGAGAGAAAAAATTAGTTAAAGATCTTAATATGTCTTCCGCATTGAAGTGGAAGTTATTGCAAAGGTGAAAGTCGTCCTTGTCAAAAGTTTTTGTGCTAATCAATTCTCTTTTGGTTAGATAACACAGGTGGCTAATCCTACATGAACAATTTTAGACAGCAAAAATATCACACATTCTTTTCTTAAGGGAAAAAAATAAGCAAATTTTCTGGTGCAAATATGTGATGTAGGACCGAATAGACATCTCATATTAGGATAAGTCATTCTTACTTTCTTGTTAATTAGATGATGGTGTTATAACCAACCATTTTATCAACAAGAGTGTTTTTTTTTTCAGTTAGAAAACCTCCAATAGGTTCAAATAACTTGATTAAACTTGTTTCTTACACCCAGATTCGTTCATTAATCTATCCAAAGTTGATATCAAGGCTTCTAAAACTTGTACCTTGCTTTGTATTCTGTTACTCTAGAATCTTGTTTAAGCAAAACTGAAAGAAACAAAAATAAAGAGCTCTTTATTACCGTAAAAAAATGTAATGCAAATACATTCACTACAGCAGATTTGTGCCACATAAATTGTATTTAGTCCGTATATTAGCACGGAATTATTTTTATTATGATTACTTATGAATCACGAGTAATGTTTTTATTCATTATTCAAGTTTACATCAGAAATTTATTATATTTCAAACATATAACTGCCATTTTAGTCTTTATGTAATTAAACTTTCTCAAATGGTTATACACGTAATTATATTCAGTTCAATTCAAGACAAAACAAAAATATACCAATCTATTTCTACATGAATCATTTATTATTTCTATCAAAGTTAATAAATTCACTAATGCAATAATTAAATTTACACTAAACAAAGTTACCATATATGATACAAAATAATAATTTAAATTTATTAAATGACATAGAAATTGTTAAAAGAGATAAAGAAATTATAAGTAAAATGGATTGGAAGATAGTTAGATGCCAAAAGGGTTAAAACTCAAGTACCTATCGACCCATTAATTCTGTTCAATTAAGCATGCCGCTCCAACAGAGAAAATAATTAATTACAATAAGAGTTTACACACACATGCGTGTGTGTGTGTCTGGCTCTTATCTGGATTCTTTTTATTCTCTTGATTCTTGCTCATGTTTGATGATGAACATTATCACGTTTGGTTCTTTCCAAGATGGATCTATGAAAATTTACATGTCCACGAACCTGATTTGAGTTATACTGTATTAACTACTAACTGACTGAAGGTGTGAACTAGAAAATTATGATAATTATAGAGAGCTCATGGAGTAATGATCTTTTATATATTTTTCCACAAGTGACCTGGGTACTATTGTGCCTGCCAAAAAGAGAAAAAAAAAAACCTACCTCCTATTGCATGTAACGTATGCTTAGTGGCTACTAGAAACACGAACCATTATCCATTGGCAGATTTTTGCAACTTATTTACTAGTGTTTTTTTTTTAATTGCCAAGGTCTTCAATACACCGTCCGTCTACATGACTCGCAAGAAAATGTTTCCAAAAGGAAAAAAAAAAAGGGAAAAGCAAGGAAAAGGGCCTAAGGTAATACAAGATAGAAAAAAAAAGATAGAAAGTATCACTCTTCCAACCAAAAAAAAAGCCACTCATGACTAAATAACAGTTAAGAGCTTGATTTAGAAGGGGAGGGATAGATTGAACGATACGGTAGAGAGAATTTAAGTAAGAAATTCCAAAGTCAAACCTACTGCTTATATTATAAAAAAAATAACTAAAAAAAAAAAGAAGAGAATGATTTAGAAGATATCAAGGATTTGATTGATCGGATGGTTGCAAAGTGGACACGGCACACGTTTGAGCCACAGCGCTCTCGAGCACTCTCTACAGTAGGTGTGCCCGCAGGGAATAAAAGCTGCACCTCTATTCCTCACCATGCACACGCAACACAAATTATCATTCCCTCCTTTATACCACTTGCCCTTCTTTGAATCCACGCCGTCAATTTCTTCGAATAATCGCATCAACGGCTTCTTATGTTTTCTGGGACCCACTTTACGCAATTGACGCTCGGCAGCTAATAACGTGGCCAAACTTATACCCCTGGCCTGTATGTTACGGCCAACATTAGCCATCATGGGCTGTAGTTCCTCCTCGGTTTCGTGTGACTCATGGGCCTGGGCTGCTTCTTCTTCACAAACTGTACTGTCAGAGACCCTTAGATTGATTGAGGATCCACAACAGGCCATCATTTTGAATCTTAGCCTTTGCATCATAGTCTCCACAGTCTGTTGGGCCTATATTGACCGTCCATTCGTCCTACTTTTGTGTCTTTGAGATGATATTGCACTTTTTCCCTATTCCTAATTGAAGAGTTTGATTTCACATTGGCACTATGTATTTTGGAGATTACAATTAAGCTAGCAACAAAAAACTGGGAATGTTTGAGAGAATTCAAATTGAAATTAATGAGAGAATTCAAATGTAGGGTGAAAATAGAGAAGACAAAAAGGCACCAATTTATGATTGTATTTAACGCGATGAATTAAAGACATTATTGTTAAGAGATCGACAAATTGAATATATTAATACCTTCATGCAGATTTCGTGTTGATGATTGAATAATCCTCCTTGTGTTTCTTGAGAGGTGATAAATCCTTCTGATCTAGTGGATGATTACGTTTGCTGCATATAGGCAATATGAGACTATGGGAAATGGTTTCAAACAAGGGAAATAGAATGGAAGAAGGCGGAGGAGGAAGAGAAACTGCCTATGATGTTTGTACTATGTAAAGGGAGAATTTGAATTCCTCAAGAGAAGAAGAAAAGAGAGCGAAGGTCATTGAAGAATGGAAATCAAAGTTGTCATGTTGGCTCCTTTTCAAGAAATAAAAGTCTCATTAATTGGCTGGGATCCATTTTTTATTGCTTTTGATTGTTTGTTTGCTACAGCTGACATAAAAAGCCAAAAGGGTGTCAAGATTAAGGCTGATTCAGTGCATATGAACTTTTTTGACACGCATTCAAATAAAGGAGCTGTTAGAATATGTGATACTCTATTAAAAATTGTTCATTATAGAAAAGTTTATCGTATCAGTTTTTTTTTTTTTCTGCAGCAAGAAATGATGTAAACATTAAAATCATCAATAACGTTTTCGGGGGTTTTTACCTAAAAAAACATTTTAAAAATTTTATTTTCTCTCGTGACCATGTTTCAAGTTTTGGGTTGACTTGGTGTACTTTACGTAATAACTGGAGACCATATAGTCGACAAATATTTTTAAAATCTAATCTATTAATCTGGAGTATAATTTCTTTTTGGGCTGACTTGGTGTACTTTCTTTTTTATCTGAACTGAAATCAAGCAGAGGAAAGAACATCTAGGAGTATATTGCAAACAGAATAAGGAAAAGTCAAGGGTGTACCTAATTAGAATATATTGTGGGCTTAGTGGATTATACCTTTTCTCTTCGTGCACTTACTAAATTTATTTGTTTATCAAAAAAAAAAAAAAGAAAAATCGAAAATGATTTAAGGTATTTGAAAATGAATAAAGCAGCAGCCACCAATCAAGCATTAACTTTCAAATTTGTAATATTTTCCCTTCAAACCAAAAGCTTTGATTACATAAGCTTCAGTTCATTTTGTTGGTATGAACTGGCTTATGACTCATGAATCATGAGATAGGGTATGCAACGCTCAATGATTGACTACGCGTGATCTTGTTGGACTCTTTGTACTGATGATTTGAATTTCGTCTTCCTCAAACACGTTTTCGAGAAAATCCATTGCAAAGTAAAAGATTACTGTACATTTCATCAGCATATGCTAGTGGAAAAATCTGTCTTGTACTCTTATGCACTGGCATAAAATATGGCCCAATTGGTTGGTGACTTAAAGTCCAAGGAGTGTGTTTGTTTCACTGATTGGATGAGACAGAATTAATCATCTTTGAACAACTCATTCTAGTTTGAGTAATTCTAGAATTAGTAATCTTGTTGTTATCTAGTGTTTAGTTAGTTTTGGATTAAATCAGTTGTCTTAAGAAAAAGTGAGGTCCTATGTTTTGTTGGAAATCAAATGAGATAAGGTATATTCTATGTTTGATTGGAGATCGAATGAGGCGAATTACCAATTCATTGGATAAAAAATATCCAATGATTCACCAGCAGGCTACTCTGCAAAACCTTGTACTCTTCTCCATGGATTGCTCCATCTAGTACATCAAGTCCAACTGCTACTCTGAGGTTGAGCTATTAATATTCCTCAATTTGAAATTATCCTCTGCATCTTCCCCCCCCCCCCCCCCCCCCCAAAAAAAAAAAAATAAAATCTTCATCTTCCCTCTTTCCGTGTAGCATCTCATCATGTCTCATTGATGATCTCATTGATTACATGAATTGAACCCTCCAAAATCCCCTAGTGAGGCATCGTGCAATCAATTTCATCACCACAGATGCCATATTCCCATCAGTAGACAGATTTAATAGTAGAATCCATGCTGGCACATCACTTTTAGTTCCAATCGGTCCTCCATCCTCTTCTAATCTCAACAAACTGTAGATTAGTTCTTCCCCTCCAACGTCAACAACAGTGGTGAATAGCAGTTGATGCAGCCATAAGCCTCAAACATTATTAATGCACCCAACGGAGTCTGACCGTTTCAGACATTTATCCGGCACCTGAGTTGTGTCATGTTGAAACAGGTGCTCTGGGATTGGGAGGAGAGTCTGTGTTAACATAGCTGAACAGGGCCTGGGAAGTTTAAAAAGAAACTTCAGGGACTAACCTGGGACTTGACAAATTGTCTTGAGTTTATTATTTTTGCTTTTTGCCTCACCAAGAAATAGAAAAGTGCTAGCTTTGGTCACTAAGAATGACTACTATAAATCTATGGTTAACCACATAATCAGGCCTATGCAATTCATAAACATAGGTCAAAGCGCATAGAAATGTACAAAGTATACATTTATTAACAGAAGATAACAAGTACCTGTCATATCCATGTTTTACCGTATTTGCAACATCAAATGGCGATAACTGCGTCCCCTTACACTTCTTTGCCAAAGTACTCAACAGATTCCTTAAAATTCATTTGTAGCCGCTGCTGAACAAGCCTGCAAATTACTAGTAAGTTATGAAATGCTTTTTTGCTGCTTCAAAAGTTGTTGCAAGAGACACAACCACCTCTTACCATCTCACAAGGCATCTCTGGATACCACGTGTTATGGGGCGAATGAATGAAGGGTCACGTTGGGCATAAAGCAAACCAACCTAGGAAAGAAAATAAACCTGTAAACTGAGAGAGACAGAGAAAGAGACGAGACCATATTTTTGTAGTTGCCTAAATCCTTTGACTAATCAATTTAATCAGCTTCAAATTTGAGATATACCGTCAAACAATGAGAGAATATAAATTGAAGGTTATATTGCAATAGATAAAATTATAATAGCACAACTACCAATTAATTCCAAATATTAATAAATGCCTAATGAATTCTGAATTGAAGAGGCCTAGATAAATAGTTGAAAGGAAGCAAGATAGGTGAACAAATCAATAGGGAAGATAACATGGCAAATGCTTTTTGGTAATGAAAAAATGAACATACCAATAAGCAATCCCACGTTCTTCACAAAGAAGAAATTTATGAAGAAATGAACATTACCCAAAAAAAAAAAAAAAGATTGAACATCAAATAAGTACCTCTAGCAAGGCAACAGCTGAAGGATCATCCAAGATCTCCAGACTACAGTCAGCTAGATAGTTAACCTGCAGTACATGGCAGCAAAGCAAAAGTGTTGGAAAGTCTAAAGATGAGACAGAAAACTTCTGAGCTAGGGCAATGGTCTTCGATGAATTTCACACTATGAATGTGTGCTTTTGGAAGAAATCCACTGGCATATGTACATGGTAAACATTTAATGAAGGAAATGTCACATCAAACGTCTTCAGTCAAATGCTTACAAATTTCAGGACCAACAAAACATTTATTAAGGCCGATGGATTCGTCTGGAAAAACACTTAGCAAAATTGGAAGGCAATGTTGTTGAGACTGGAAGACAACATTTGTCATAGCAAACTGGGAACATACCAGGTTACTCATACTGATCCAATTTTTTACTAGTACCAATTCATGCAACAAAATTGGTGAATTCAAGGTTTCTCTTGCTGAATTTCGGTACCAGTGATGCATCAATGGATACTAGTTAAGAAGCTCAAAGGGTAGAAGTCTGTATATGCTTACTTCAGCATATAAGGTGGACCTTCTGCATCAATTTCTGATGCAACTGAATAAAGACCTTTGGGAGAATGCTAGTTGGGCTTTATCCAGGGATCAATGGCTATGTACAAGTCCAAAAATCTTATAGTTAGCCAGAGACCAGAGTCAGAAAACTAAACGCATTCAGTGAGAAGGTTCAACTATGTTCTTTAGTCATGCCATTTAGAGAGAAGGTTCAACTATATTCTTTAGTCATGCCATGTAACTCTCGGGTTTGACTTTTTGACTCTGAATTACAAACACGTGCAATTACACAATTGTCCAAAAAATTTATCTTTTTGGAATGACAACAAATAGCCAAATTGGAAGATAACATTTGTTTACTTAACAGTAAAGACAACATATGGCTACATACAATCTTCCACTACAAAGTTGTAATAGAGTACACTTATAGGGGCTAAGGAAGTCAACTACTACAGGTAGAAATTTAGTGAGAATGAATGACACATGGAGTCAAATGATGACCAAGTTCCGGGAGGCGCCCAGGGTGACTTTACATATTTTACTCTCTTCTAAGTATTCTAGAGATAAAATGCTTATTCTTCGCCTCACCCTTGATTTCAGCTTTTTATCCTAGCAGTACACATACAAAACTGATCTCATCTTTTACATCTCTTTCAGATTTTTTACATCTTCTACTCAAGAAAATTCTCATTGCTCTTTCGAGGTAACACTCATGCTCCTAAAGAACATAAATTCGTCCTACATTTATGTCACTTCAGAGACATTACCTGGACATGTGGATATAAAAGGTAAACAGACATTTAGTAACTGGTACCTGATAGGTTAACTGAAGGCCACAAAGTTTGTTTATTTACTCTTTTATCATTTCATAAAACAATTATTCAAAACATATTCTGATCTCTATTATTGCATTTGGAAATGCTTTGCAGAACTGATGCATTTATCTGATTCAATACATTACTCTCTGAACAAAAGCAATGCCCTGCTAGAGACAGCATTCATAATTCACCATCATATCAGAATAAAAACCATACCATCACGCATTCAAGAAAAATCTGCTTAGACAAGTGAAATTGGCTTGTTTCTGAACTTAATGCAACTTGAATAAAGAAAATATAATTCCTTGCACTTTAAGTATCTATACTTTTGATTATTGAATCAAGGAATCCGTCAAGTGGAGAATACAAGTTGTAGAACCTCATGGCAAAAATTCACTCATTCTTGTTTTTCAACTTGACTAGTTAAATGGAAAAAGGGCAAGAAACTTAGTGAAAAAAAGAATCATGAGAACAATATCATAACAACTGGCAGTTAAAAAAAATTGTAAGTTGTTAAGAGAAATATGAAAGGAGTACCCCAAATTCTGTGTTGACTAGAGATTGAACAAAGTCCAGCAGTTGAATCTTAGCCCACTGGTGGCATATGGAAGGATCGTCTGTATGTGGAGGATGTCTCCAGGGAGCACCAAACCGCAATCTGTCTTTTGAAACCTTTCCACTTTGTGCATCCAATGCGAACTTTTGCAAGTGAAGAAGTGCTTTTTCCATCACAGGATCAACTACAGTTAACTAAAGGAGAAGAAAGAATGTAATGAACAGTTTAGATCGAAAGTTATCTACAGCACAAAAAAGTGTACTAACGTCAACTTTATTTACATCAAGGATTTTCTGGTTTCTAGTGCTTGTGGAGGAAATATTATTTCATTGCTTCATGAGGTGGTCTAATTAGCACCAGAAAATAACAATTGCAAAACTTGTGCACTTTCATTACATTTCTATTGATTTGAGGACTATGATTTCTTGGTCCTTCTAGCATGATCTCTGTTTTGCTAAAAATTTGAGCACAGAATGTTTCATTTTGCACAAGTGACCGCATTCAGGATGTCCACTATGCAAATGACAAGTTGAAGGTGTTTGAAAGTCGAAAGGATACAAAACTTATAATTGGCAATTTAACCAAAAATATCTCCTGAAGATGTATCTTACATACTACTTTTTGTTGTCTAATTACTTTTCTGATCTGAGGTTTTGCTTCATTAGTGGTTTTTCAGGTAAGTTCTACTTGTGACAGGCTTCTCCCTTATAATAAGGCAGGTTGCTGTGTTGAACATATATTATCAAAGCACCTATACATAGAATGCTAGCAAGATGTGCACTAACACAAGTTTCTAATATAAGAAGAGAATTTGTGTCTTTTGAACTTCCAATTATATAAATGGTTTGCCCTTATTATAGATAGCTCTATGTACTTAATCAACATTACTGAAGTTCAAACAGGTGATAAGTTCTCGAACATGCGTATCACAGGTACTCTTCGCCTAGTTTTAGAAGAGAGAGTTACTTTCATTATGAGTTTGGTTTATACCAAATTGTCTCTCTTAAATTGTCTATCACAGTTATTGCAGTTGAACGTATTTTTTTTTTATTCTTCTGCAGTATGCACCTTTTAAGAAAGGATCACACATTTTAGGAAAATATTCATTTTTAGTATCATCATCACAAAATCTAGTTCTTGCTTCGAGAATATCCAGAAAAAGCAATTCCTTGTCTAGGGCTTGAAAATTTTTATGCTTATTGTTTAGATTCTTTCTTTTTTGCTTGTTCATGTAAAGCCAATGGTAGTCAAATTCATTAGAGGAAGATTTTTCAAGTCTATATAGAGATATCTTTCTTTTTGTCACTTCACCGTGTTCATTTGGTCACGAATCAAGACTCAACAACACCATCAAACTGCATAGTCCCCTCAGATGTAATGCAAATGAAATACAGAAATTCAAAGTAAAAGCTGATATGGCAGGTTCATGTTGAACTGGATTATTAACTTAAAGAATAATTTGTACCACCACAAAAATAATGTAGCTGAGCTGTAAAGACATGACAGAGCTAATGCCATGGGTTCTGATTGCAAATAAGTGACAGTTGTGAAGAGATTAATATCGCACAAAAGATTAAAACTTTATTATCACATTATCTTGATGCCATACGGCACAAACATCAAATGTAACACACTTCAATTAATTCTCTGTTAATTTGGATTCAATAGGACAGCAATTTAACTTCATTTTGTTAAGCAAGACCATGCTGATATATGGAGCAATTCTTCAGTTTAACTTTAGGATGTAAGGGTGAAATTTGAATATTGAGTGTTGCAAGTACAGGAATAAAATGATAACATAAAGACCACACACAGTAAACTCAAAAATCACTCCTTAGAAGCAATGGTTCTGACCAGTCCGAAAATCTGATGTTCTTACAGCCAAATTGGCCTTATAAGGTGGAGGGGTACAGGCCACTTGTTCATGTTACCTCTTGTTCCTGAATCATATTGGATTGACTACTCAACAGAAATAGCTTTAGTTAAAGTATATTTGACTAGGACAGTCATAATTATCTTGCAGTAGCAAATTTGAATTACTACTTCGGGCTTGGGCATTAGTTTTAGCTAAGGTCCCCTTCCTAGGGTTAAAGAGATTAGAATAAAACCTCTTATTAGGAGTGTTTAGGATTCAAGTTGTCCCCTTGAAGTTTAAATGTGCAAACCCATTTTGAAAAGTTTGATGCTTACATTACACCATCACATTACTTAGGTGAATCCAATGCAGGAAATCATTCTACTAAATTGGAAGGTAATAAAGGCATGGAACTCACTAAACTATCACTGAGGACTAAGGAACTTGACAAGATAATGGTTATAACTAAAAGTTCTAATTCTTTCCACAAAAATTCTGGTTTTGAGAATCAAATACATTTTCCTCTTCTTTGATTTCATCTCATAGACGCAGGAATTTGTGCTTGCCACCTGTTATTTTTCATATAAAAAAATATTTGATAATAGATCAAATTTTCAATCTTTATCCAGCATGTGATGTTGTGTTACAGGAAGGAAGAGAGAGGAGAGAAGGAAGAAAGAGGAGAAACATTTATGTAGACTAGATCATCCCCAAAAATCAAACAAGAAAAGAAATGTCCTTACATAGCAAAACTACACTATGTCTGTTGGCAACTCAAAAGATATCCTTAGTCTCTCAGAATCTTGCGTTGTATCAAAACAATTTGTTTCTCCTATGACCACATTTGTTTAAACAAGCATGATTAACCAATAAGCAGGAACCACCCACATATATAGTGATCAATTTTCTTATGCCTAACATAATTTCCATAGAAGACTTTTCCTTTTAAGATTTTGTCAGAAGTTCATTTCTCTAGCAGTCTACTCTTAACTCCTAGAGGAAATGAGGTAATGCAAAAGCACGGACAAAGAACAATGTTGAGCAACTCAAATTAAGTGTACTTAGGCGCATAAGGCTATCAATGTTTGGAATTAGTTTTATTTCACAAACACGTACAGAAAAATCATCAAAGCAACTTGGCTCCAAATTGCTAGCAACTTTATGTAGCAGAACTTCAAATACCATACAAAGCAGTAGCTAATCAAGGAACTTACTTGCAGATATGCCAAGTATGCATCCACAATGTCTTCAAAGGTGCTACCTTTCTCATCCGTGACCCTACAGTAGGAAAATGAGCAGAAAAATTAACAAAAAACATAAAACAACTATACTCTTGTTAAACAGGGGGAGAGAGAGCCTGGGGGGGGGGGGGGGAAGATACACTGGCAGAGGCTTTTTACTGGATAACCAACAAAGTTAATGGTAAACATCAAAATGTGAACATTTCTAACATACTCATATGGAGCTCCAATGTCTACTTTCAGCCTCTCATGCATCAACCAGGGAAATGAACTTTCATTTGATACTAAATAATTAAATGCCATAATTTGTTTTTCTGTCTGACACATGCTATATTGCCATGGAAAGGTGACCGGGTAAAAAGAGATATGTTCAAGTCAGACATATCAAACTAAATTAAGTACATAATACTATTGCAAGTTCTACATGAGTTTTTAGATCTACTAAAATAGGAACAGTTTTGAAGTCATTGTGACTGAAAGAAACATAATCATCCCACAAGGAATAGTGTTTAGAATTAATGTGAGAAAAAAATTAACACTTTGTCCAACAATATAGCTGTTTCAGTTAGATAGGTGATAGCTTATTGATGTACATCAAGATCTCATTTAGATTGAGGGATTTATTTCTTATGAACTACCGTGTTGTTAACATATCTACAGAGTACCAAATGATTAATACAAATAAAAGTAGAATATTGACAAACAATAAGTAAACAATTAAATAGAAAACGCTCCACAAAATCCATGAATCCAATATCACCGATTTCATATCATGAAACATGCAATTTACATGCATTACTATTGCTACTTACTTATTGTAATAGTTACTAAGCTTGAGTGCATAAACCTCAAAAAGGTGCCGCGACTTGGCCCTAGGGTCTCAACAATTAAATTCCACTGCAATTTCAACAAGTGCACAACATTGTCAGAGCAACTAAAAACTCATGTTGAAGAAATACTAATAGTCATCACGATCATACCTCAGCTTGAGTAAAGTAATCATCAACCATGTGCATATTGGCTTCTGCTGGAGTCCACCCAAATGTCTGCATTTTTCTTATAACTCAATCACCCAGACTCATAATCATTGGTGAACACCACAAATCACTTTAACTATCATATTCAGAATATATTCGAAAAATTCACAGCTTAAGTACAGACGATCGATCACTGGGTAAACTGCAAAGAACTGCATCTGATTTCCAACTATAACTACCAACAGTCTGTTCATTGATATGGATTTTTTATACATACATATTTACAAGAAAAAAGATTCTAACAATATTCAGGACCATCAAATACACATGCAGGTACACACAAAAGAGTTCCTGTTACCTCACGAGAGATGAAAATATCTGGAAATCCATAATCAATAAAAGCTTGGTAAGAGTAGTAGCTGCAAGCACATATCACGTGTTCTTAGTTTTATTAATCAATTGAAAAATATAAAAGAGAAAAGGAAATTTTGTGTATGAAAAAGTAGCTAAAATTTGGATTCATTCAAATAAAGGGGAAAGTTAGCATTAGGCATAAAAAGGCTGGGAAGCTTCATTAGGGCCTGTTGACACCTTTTGCCTATTATTACAAAAAGGTCCATTTACACCAAGGATTTCTCAAATTATGAAAATGGAAGCTTGAATAGACCATCAAAAAGTAAAGCAAGAGCATTGAAGATTTGTCAGACTATGAACCACCAAAGAACCTGTCAAATTTGCCAGGGATTAGCCTAAGCATGCAATGAAACAGTTGGACCTTTATTAACTTTAGTACTTGATCGAAGGGATCTGCAAGAATTTAATCTTATTGTTGCTGGCTATAAAGCAGAATGGGAAACTGTCAAGCAATGCTTAGGAATGTGCAAGATCTAGCACAGAAGCTAAATCACTGCCATTTCAATCAAATTCATTTATCCATCAACAAATTATTTCTAATTGTAAAAAGTTTAAAGGTTTCATTTTTTCCAAATTAGACATGTAAATAAGCTATTGTCACACAAAACATGAAACTTCTAAACTTTTAGGAAGCGTAATTCTCCAAAAAGAATGTAAATGTTGGATGGAAAGGTTTAAGATATAATTATGAAAAATTTTATGCTTCTATACTACTCTTTGATCAAGCAAGAAACGGATGATTTTGAGGGGTTGGACTCATGAATCACACACTGCTAATGACATGTGAAAAAGGGATGGGCTGGCAGCACTACCAAATTCTACTTCTAACTTCTGATTCTCCTACCAATCTTAAAACTTCTAATCTTCTCTAGAGTTATTTAGTTACAGGATTTCTGAAAATCCACACAATCAGCATTATGCAATATTCATAACTACAAAGGGACTATCACCACTAAAAGAAGTATAAGATGTACAAAACTTTAAGAAATTACTCAAATTACAAAAAATCCACTGAATTGATCAAATTCTACCAGTTAATTAAATAAAACAGAGTCAAATAATGGTATCTGAAATACAGAACAAATTGAACAGTGAGATTGAAAATTCTAGAACTTCACAACAGAATGATCACTAACTTCCTCTCGAGGGATGTGGACCTACTTTAACAAGCCTATAGTTTAGCCTGTCCTGCTATGATAGGTAATCTAACATGGGTACAGTTTCACATTCTTGAATAACTAGATGTCACACTCTTTCAGCTTTGGGTTGTGAAAAAAATGCAACTACTTTCTTTTAATAAAAAAATTACTTATAAAAGTTCATACTTCATACAGAAGAAAAGCTAAGATTTACAATTCTGAATCTCTCTTTAAGTTAAACTAGCAATCAAAAGTTGTAAATATTTCTAATTTTTTTAAAAAAATTTTTTAGTGTAAACGGGAGAGCTCGAACCCGACACCACTCACTTAGACTCCCTCCCCCAAACCACCCAACCCGTCCCCCCCCCCAAGGTAAATATTCTAAATTCTATTAAATAAAAAGTTATTAAACAACTGTTTCTTAACTCTATAACCATCAAAGTCCAAAATCCATGTTGGAACTGAACACATTTATTAAATACATTTGAGTTTTCACTTTCTAGTCTTGTAGCCATTCCTTTTTCTTGTACTATACCTGGCAGCACTCTAAGAGTGTTATAATGAAATAGAGTAAAAGGACTAGGAAAACATCAAGGTATGCATATCTGCTGTCATCAACATTCCACTTCAAAAATCACTAAATTGGCACAATTAGTATGTTTGCTCCTATAAGTTATCAACGCACAATTGAAGTAAAATAAAGAATATTTGATGACTTGTAGTTTTAAGTGAAAAAAATTTGATGATGCCATTTTAGTAGTTGTACAGACCAAGACCACAATTGATGATCCAGAAATCCTGTGTTATCTCCTAATTCTGGTGCTCTGACATCCAGAGAAGTAAGATTATAAATGAACTATCTATCGGCAGGGGGAAAGAAAACTTTTAACAATCTACAGTAAGCTGGTATCACATGTTGTCCATAAGGGACTAAAGCAGACCCAGCACATAAGCGTCCCGCAAGCTAGGAAGGGCTAAGTGGGCTTGGCATTAGTCCTGGACATCGAGTGGCTTTATGAATTTTTAAACCAATAACTCCCTAGGTCAGGAAAAAAGCAAACTTACCTTGTGACAAGGCATATACCAAGTGATCTTCATGAAAGTTGTAGGAATTCGTCTTAGCTTCGAAATGGTATAATTTTCACACCAATCCGATAAGCGTAGCCTCAGATGTGTTCTTTCCGCAAAACTCGTCAAATCTGTCTTTTGTAAACTTCATTTCCGCACTTGTTATTAGTTGATTTATGTCCTTGTATTGTCTTGAGCCTATGGAACGGCTATTGAAATGCATTTGTGTTGTGTGTACCTTTGGGTTTGAATGAGAAAAATAATGAAGCCAAAATGGCTAGAAAATGAGGTAAACACAAAGGGCATGCTGCCCAAATTTACGCTCGAGAACTAGAGAACTATACTTGCAACTTGAGTAAGGACTTGGCCGAATTTATACCCTTGAGAAATAAAATAATGACTGCTCGGAGTACGTTTTCTTTGTCACTTCGACTTAAATGGAGATTTCAAAGTTTTACGAGCAAGCATAAGTTTTACAAATATTTTACTCATAACCTTTGGTTTAAATGTACTCTTTTCACTTCCAAAACTATACTTATATTTTGTACTAGTAGTTATTCGAATTTTCTTTGGTTCACTTAAACTTTGGAGGGGTTTAACTGTAATATTTTCTCTTGGCTATTATTAGGGTTTCTTGGCGATTGAGAGTGTTATCCGAGAGGATACTTTGGACATTATTTTGCTTAAATAGGTGAGTGTTCCTTGTTTGCTATATTTTTCTTGACTTCATGATTTGTGTTCTTATTTGATAATGTGTTAAGTACTTTCAAGGATTCCCAAAACGAGTTTTCTAGGCGAGCGTGTACTTTACCACGCTCGACCTAAATGAAATATGAAATTTTCAATGATTAAATGTTGAAATACTAGTTGCGCATGAATGTAAGCCTTTTTGGCTGAACTGGACCCTTGCCCTTGTTGCCGATCGACTCGAGCCAGAAGCGGACTCGGTCGGGCGATTTGGTGACCTGGGTGAACGTTTGGTATACTCGAGTTGTGACGCCCTAAAAAGAATGAGAGTGAGAACTCGGAAATTTTCTAATTTTCTAGGGTTTATTTTTTTTTAATCGCCCGCCTTTTCTACATTTTCTTTATTAGAAAAATTCCCCAGATAAAGTTTATGGGCAAAGATAGTTTTAAAATCATTTTTCTAGTATCGGTTAGTTTTTGAGAAATTAAGAGCGTATTTTGAACGTGGGACCCGCAAGTGCGGTAAATGCATTATATTTTTGACAACTTGTTGGAAATTTGTATTAAGTGATATTATTTTACAAAGTGTTAAGATATTTGTATTAGAGAGACAAAAAGATAAGTTTTAAACCTAAAGGTGACAAGTGTCACCATAAGATTTAGTCTTGAGTTTGACTACTATTCATAACTTTACCATTTAATTAAAATTGGCCAAAAATCTCTTCATTTTGCAAGCTTCTTGGCCGAATTCTCTTGCTCAAAAAAGGGAAGAAAAGCTCTCAATTTTCTAGTCTCCAATCTTGCCCAATCTTTCAATTAAACCGATTAATCTTCCAATTACTCTATAAAACCTCTTAGCTTGGTGGAGTGGAGCTTGGTTGTGAAGTTGTTTGGAAAGTTAAGGTGACTAGTTGCTCTATATCTTGTATTGCTAAGGTGAGTTGTGAAGTACCCCTTTCCTTCCTCTAATGATGTTCAATTCATGATTGGTGGTGGTATAAGATGCACTTTTATGGATTATATCTTGGTTTTGGTTGAATTGGTGAAGTTTTATAATTATTGGGGATTTTTCTGTTTTCATATGGATATGATTGTGTGGTTAAATATGATGATTGGAAATGGTATATAATGACTCTAGAAGGTGGAAAAAGTGGATTATTGCAAGCAATTTCTGTTTTGGAAGAAATTTTGGAAAGTTAGGGTTTATGATTGTGCATTCTGCCCGAATTTATAGCTCATATATAGAGGCCGAATTGGCCTTGTCTTAAAACATGAAAGTTGTAGGGAATGACATTTTAGAGGTGCCTACAAAATTTCAGGTCAATCGGAGTAGTGTAGAATGAGAAAAGTCGAAATTACTATTGCTGTTCTGGTTTTACCCGAATGTAAGAATTGCGCCTGTAATTGGTTGTTTTGGCTGGAATTTATTCCGAATTGGTTGTTGATGTCTTCTGATGAAATTTATCCCTGTTTCTTAGCTTTCAAATGGTTTTGTAATTTCTGGATTTGGACTTGGATAGCCTGCTTTATGATGTTTCCGCTAGAATGCGTTCTGTGAATCTGTTTTTGTGATTCTGGTATGGTATCTTGCATTTTTGACCTGGTTACACTCGAAACTGGGTTGAGTGACCTTCTTAAATGTTGTATCCCTGTATTTTAGCTTCGAAACGGTGTATCTTGCACCTTCATCCGACAATCGTAGCGCCTTTGGTACCATTACCGTAAAATGACGTCAAAACTGTTTTTCTGGTTTTGAGCTTAACTTTCATTTCCGGACTTTTCCCTAGCTTGACTTGTACTAGTACTACTTGGAGCTTGCTGAATGGCTATTGGATGAACTTGTTGTTGTGTGTGTACCTTTGGGTTGGAATGAGGAAATAATGAAGCCATGATTGCTGGAAAAGTTAGCAAATTCAGGGGAAGTGCTGTCCGAACTTTGAAGGGAT